ATTGATGTTTTAAAATGTATTCAACCTTCCACCGAAACAAAATAAAAAAAAAAATACATGAAACATGTTTGAAGGGTGGAGATTTTGTTTTCCAAATAAGTATGTGTCGTACTAACACGAGCGTTCTTACGCTAAACCCGAGGACAGTTTCTTACCTGTTATATACAAGATCAAACCCAAAGGATGAGATAGAAAATTTTCAAATTGAGTCATCATCATGACCTTATTCTAAATTCAGTCTCATGTAATTATTCCACCACTTTCCAGCGCTAAAGCTGTGAACGAAGACATGCGAAGGGGATTCCTCACTCTTCCCAGATAAACAAAAGGACGAAAACAATAAGAAAAAATAATTAAATTATGTCCAAGTCATAGGCTTGAATTAAGTTATTTCATGCACTTACATTCATTTACAAGTGGATGCATTATTTTACTCATATATTTACCTAAAAAAACAGAGATATATTACCCATCATTAATTAACCTATCATATATTAATTATGACAACAAAGACACAAGGTCGAAGAATCTCACTAACTTTCTTTGCTCCTTTTGATTGATCATATGGAGGCGTTCACGAGAATATAGCAGATTAATTTATCATGTTACTTTTGTTGTAATTATACATAGTGCGTGCATGGATTAAAAATTAGGTTATACCCGCATATGAAAGTAAGTGTGAATAAAATTATATGTCAGACAAATGAAGGGTAGATTATGTATACTTGTACAATCAGATAGAAACAAATTGTCTTTTTCTGAATCCAGAGGGACAGATGATGGGCGTGCATGAAATTTTCTATTTCCTGGTTAAATTATGTTTTTCTTTCTTTTGTTGTAACTTACACATATGTTACTACTTTTAAACTTAAGAGTAAATTAACTGAAACTTTTTTTAAATTTTTTTAAGCTTCACATAATTCAACTCTCCATATTGACTGCACAAAACAAAGGACTATAGTAGATCAGGGTAAGTGAAGATTTGGAATTACTCCATTTTTTTTCACATCTGCATGCATTGGAGATAATCTTGTTTCTTCATGTTAGGTGTAAAAGAACAAAAAGTTAAATACACACTGGTAGTGAGGACAGGCTCTATGTCATTTGTTAAAATTATTGGCCATTGTTAATCAATCTCTTTGTTTATCTATGAAGCTTGGTTGGTTCAAACTTGGTGTTCACGTTAAGGGAGTGAGTCATTTGCAAAGTGCCAACTTCAGGTTCACTTGTGTCGTTTGACGTTGAAGGATATAGTCACGGGAAAATGCCATTTGTTGCTCTCTTCAAACCGCCATGAAAAAGGCACCAACACAAGTTACGTACAGATACTGCTTCTGACTACCTATAGTTTGCCAGTGCTGCATTTTGACGTGAAGAATAGTTTGATAGAGTCACAATGGCGAGAATAAGTCTTACCCAGTTGGAAAGAGATTTGTTAATAGATTCAGTTACACGTGCAGATTAGTGTTTAGGTTAAACTTTAAGTTTGACGATTGAGGTTGTAAACTTAAGTAAAGGTTTCTTTTCATAAAATTGAGTTTTAAGGCAAAATTTTGTGTAAATATAAGTAAAGAAAATATTATTTTTATAAGTAAAATTTTATTCATGATAAATACTCACTACAAAGTAAACACTCACTACAAAATAAACAAAGACCATTATGACTTATAAAATCTCACGTTAAATAGAAATATGATAAATATAAAATAAGTATAATTTTTACTCAATTTTATAAAATTGAATTAAATATCTCATCATTTATAAGAATTAGTTTCACGAATGCTAGATTTGTTGTAGTTAATGCTAATTATCAATTTTTAAAGAAAAAAATAATGAGAGTGAGCCAAACCAATGTTAGTTTTCAGGTAAGTGTTCTCTCGACCATATAAAATATATATCCAAAAGTTTTTACAACTCAATCATGCATGATGAAATTATAAAAAATTTGACATTTTTGAACTTTGTCTATAACTTACTTTATACTCGAAAAAAGAAGAAAAAGATGTGTACAAATGATATATCCAACAACAAGCAAAATGAAAAAGATTGAATAGAATAACTCCTCAAATTTTAGTAATCTCATATACGTCAATATCAATGGTAACCTCTTCCACATTTTCATGGTATAAGATCAAATTAAGGTTAAGCTGAAACACTACTAGATCATAATTAATTTGAGATAATTTTTTCAACCTTAAGAATATTAACCCGATTAAGGTTATTATTTATTATTTTGGATTATTTTATTTATAAGTAAAATAAACTTATAAAGTAATTTATATAAATTATAAGAATATAAAAATTGAAAATATTAGAAGATAGAGTTTATTTATTTTAAATTTATAAAATTTTCTAAGTTTTGAAATTTCAAATAATGAATAGAGGAATAAATTGTTTCTTTTATAAACTTAAATTTTTTTTATTTAGATTATTTTGAATTATCTCTAAGATTTATGAATGGGAAGGAGAGGGAAAGTGAAAACTTAAAAAGTTTTGTGATTACGGGTATGCTTTCCATCTCTCTTATGAATTCTTTGGAATTTTGGTTAAGTAGGGGAAAAAGATATATAAGTATAGATTTTCAAGGTAGTTTTAATATCCATAAACTAGTTTGTAGGAATTGTTGAAGGTATATTATTGGTGTATTTTTTTACTTTATTTATGAATGATTATTTTTGAACAAGAATAAAAAATAATCCAATAATTAGTTATATTCAAAAGTATTTTTTTTATGAAATTTAGAATTGAGTTAAATATTGTTTTGGTATTTTTATGATAGTTAATTAATATAAAATGTGTTATGGAATGTATATTGTCTATGTAGATGATTGTTATAATTGTTTATATGTTTTTGATAGGTGAATATACATTATTTTATTGGATTCTTATGAGTTATATATAATGGTTGAGCTGAAATGGAAAATATTATAAGAGATGAGTGGAATTATATCAATTCGTTAGAAACCAATTGCGCTTAAACTCAGATTCAAGCAGCACTTAAGGAAAGAGTTATTAATTAGAAGAGTAAACTAATATGAAAAGTATTTTGTTTAAATAACCGTTTTAGTGTTCAAGCGGAATATATTTGTATATCACTTAAACGATTAAGGATGTGTTAGTGATATATAAATATATTGATGGTATATAGATGAAAAAACAAATAATATATTATTAATAAATAATAAATAAATATGAGAAGTTAAAAAAATATAAAAATATAAGAAATCAAATTTATAATATATCAATATGTATATTTGATAATTATTAAATTGGGGATCAAAATTATAAATATTAGTATAAATTATAAATTTTTTGGAAAAAAATTCCCTTACCTCCCAATAAACTTTATTGTCATAAGAAATTAAATAGATATTCAAACTTAGATAATATATATATATATATATATATATATATATATATATATATATATATATATATATAAAGAAAAGATTATTGAATTGGTATTTGAATCAGACGTTCATATTCCACTTATTAGGTAACACTAATAACCTAAGTTAAAAAGTAAGAAATTGATGAATAATTAATGATATCATATTTTAAAGTATTCATAATAGTGTGAAAATTTTAAACCAAAAAATAACTAAAATAATATTATATTATAAAAATCTAATACAAGGATCTAAGCTTGAAACTTAATAATAGATATAAAAAAATATCTTCTTCCATACTACTATCGAAAGTAATGATATAATGATATATGAAAAGAAATATTGTATTTATGAATAATTTAAAAAATATATATATGTTTTTGATAATTAGTCTATAAGAAAAACTAATTTTAACTCATAAAAAAAGTTATATATTTTTTTTCATATTTTTGTAATATGTTTTAGCATTTAGGATTTTCGTAAATTATTTATAATTTAGTTTTTTAAGTTATGTGAGATTATTTTGGTACAAAGGAACAATCATCAAATAGTCGAAACCAAGGGATTAAAGGGCCTTGTTAACTTTTGTGCAGTACCCTTTTTCATATTTGTAAATTTTGTAATCTTAAAATTGCTTTGGCAGGATTCTCTCATATTTTGGACAAAATTAAAGTTTAAAATATTTACTTTCAAAAGTTTTAAATTCAATAACGACAAAACTAAAATATATAACATGATTAAAAAAAAGTTGATAAAAATGAATATGTTGCAATGGAAAAGTGAAAACTGGAACCAGGCTTTGGGTTCAGAGAGAGGACAGAGGCAACAACAGAACGAAAACCAGAACAGAACGGGTCTCAATTACCACTCACAAGTACTGTGAGGTGACCGGCTCTTCTGCGTTTCACTCACCTCTTACAAATAATATAATCCTAGTAATGCTGTAATAACATCAACGACGAAGTTTTAAAATTAATCACGTTCATATATTATAGATACAGAGAAACAGAGATTTCTTATTTTTTTAAAATAAAAATCAATATAAATTAAATCATAAAATATTAATTTAATTTAGTTCAAATTTTAAATTAAATTAAACCTAATTATATTTTATTTCTGTGTTTATTTTTTTATCCGAATAGCTTTTCAATAAAAAGCGGGTAACTTTTCAATATAACACCTTTTGATAAAAAAACTGAATCAAATGAAACCAAGAAACATACTTAAGAGAAATAAACAAGCACTTTTTTTTTTTTAAACACTTAAAACATTTTTCAATACCTATATTTTAATTCTTTCACAGGATATTATGAGACTTAGCATTTAAATTAATGACGAATATCTAAAAAAATAATGCAACTGCAAAAGAAATGTAACTGTGAACAGTAGAGTAGTATATTATTTCTCCCTCCGTTATTATTTAATAATAACTCCCTCACTCATCATCACCGTTTCACTCTCTACCCTCACTATTCCGACTCTACATTTGAATCACCAACTCCCCTCTCTCTCTCTCTCTCTCTCTCTCTCTCTCTCTCTCTCTCTCTCTCTCTCTCTCTCTCTTATTTCTACCAAACGCGCTTCCCAAACTTAGAAACCAAAACTCACAAGATGGCCGAGAAGCACTTGCGGGACCTGCTACTGGAGGACCAAGAGCCCTTCCTTCTCAAACACTACATTTCGGAGCGACGCACCCTCCTCAAAAGACCTTCCCCAAACACCACCTTAAGAAAAAACACCTCAAACTTCCCACTCAACAAATGCCTCCTCTCCCTCCATAACGCCACCAAATCCCCGGTCTTGCAATCCGTGTCGCCCACGCAGAAGCAGAGTCCCCTCAGACCCTCCAGCGCGAAAACCGCCACGCTCCTCCTGGAAGCCGCGCTCAGAATCCACAAACACGCCAAACCCAGGCCAACCAGGGCCTTCGGCATCTTCGGCTCGCTCTTCAAGAAACTCACCAACCAACGAAAGAGGGAACAAATACACGATGATGTTGGCGTGAAGGTGGTGAGATCCTGTGGGAGTAGGCCCAGCAGTAGTGGCGTGTGGTCGGAGAGCAACGAGGACAAGTCGTTGGACTTGGAAACTTGCAGTAGTGGCCATTCCTTCGATGACTCTGTCGAACAAGAGATTCAGTTTCTCAACAAACGAAATCTTGGAAACGCTCATGATCTCTTCTTCTGCCAAAGCCCTTTCCGTTTCTCACTCCGACGGAGCCCCGACTTCTCCCCCCGCCGCACTCCGGAATTCTCTTCGCCGGCGGCGTCTCCCTGTCGCCACAACTCTCAGGTTTGTCCTTTTTCATCATGGCCAATGCTTAACATCTTTTTTCCAAATAATAAAATTGTTATAGTTATAACATGTACACAATTTAGTAAAAAATACCACCAACTTTTCAATTTTATATTTCTGCGTCAATATTTAGTACTCGGTCTCTATTCAATGTAAACCATATGAAATTGATTATTTTTAATCATCATATGGAAGGGCTTTATGAGAAAAAAATGATTTACAAAACTTAAATCATCATTTAAAATAAAATTAAAAAGACTATCGTTTTAAATTATTTCTCATTTAACTCATATCACTCATAGTTTTATTGTCGTATATTGCAAATTTTTGAGACTCGTGGTTTTATAAATTTAAAATGAATAAATTTTTGTTAATACAAATGTTAAAATACATAACTCAGTAAAAAAATTTACATCAAATTATTATTTATGATATTATAATGACTTTTCATATAGTAGTTATATTTTTATCAAAAAACAAATTTATATTTAAATTATAGACCAAGAATATAAGTCGATATTTTCGTCATAGTATCTCAAATATGATTAGATGCCAACATTTACATTTTAATTAAATTTACTACCCTTAACAGCAAATTTAGAAGAATTCAGGACATTTTAGTTGAATTTTTTAATTCTATAATAATAATAATATTACTGTTATTATTATTATTATTATTATTATTATTATTATTATTATTATTATAACTTTGAATTAATTCAGCTGGTTTTAATGCCACTAGGTTCAACTCGCTGGTTTGACTCGGTGGTGCGGTGAGTTTGAGCACCGAGTTGAGCTCGTGAATTAACCGTGATAGTTCGTGGTGTTTTTTTGTCGTGATCTGGATTCGGGGTCTGCGAATTTTGCCGAACCTTTCTTACAAAGACGATTTTACCCCGCAATTTTTTCTAAATTTGCTGAATATTTCGTGTAGCAGAGGGTCACGTAGGTTAATTCAATTTCGATGGATTTTCTCACTTGTATTTTTCGTCCAGGTGTCTGCCATGCAATCTTCTCGATTTTTTCTTTTACTTTTTGGGGTTATTCGGTAAAAAAAAAAAAAACATTTAAAAGAAGACGAATGGTGTTTTTGTTTGTTCTATTGGGATGAATTATTGGACCCCGACATTCGGTTTTCTAGAAAAATAGTTTCTAGTTTGTATTTTTGTTTACATGAACAGTGGAGTGGGTATCAAAACATAAAAAAAAGGAAGTCAACAACCCAATTATGAAGTAAGTGTTGAGTCTAAATCCATGGGTATTATAAGAATGATTAGGGAATTATGTTAACTACCCAATTAGGACAATATTCTAACTATGGTGGATGTGATATTTTCCATAGGACAACGAAATTAATGGTGGTGATGGCGTCAACAAATTCCAATCCGGGGAAGAAGAGGAAGATAAGGAACAATGCAGTCCAGTTTCTGTTTTAGACCCACCCTTCGATGATGATGATGATGATGATAACGACCATGGAGAGGATGGTTTTGATTTGGACTGTAGCTATGCCAATGTTCAACGTATGTCATTGTTTAATATATTGTTCTGGTTTATTTTCCACCATTTTATGTTGTCTGGTCGTTTTCCATCAACATGCCATCGTACACGCTTCTTCAAAATTCATTGTCTGTTACAAAATACCATAAGGGGGGCTATGTTGCTTATATCATTTCTACTAATGCCACCTATCTTTGTGGGTTCCATTCAAAGATAACTATAGCTCATCCTCCAACATGCATTCGCATTCAATGTGAAATTGCCCTACTCTTTGTTCCCAACCACACCTTGCTACCAGTATCGTTATAAATTTCAACATGACCCACAATTTTTTTCTTGTCAGAAGACCTGATACTTCCATCAATGTGCTGTGTAAGGTTTGAGCAATCCAACGCCATTCTAGTTTACTCATATTTAATTTACTGAAAACTGAAGCAAGCAAAGCATGTGACACGTTGCATTTAACAGCATCACTTTCTTTTGTTGTCTTTCTTTTCAATTACATTCCTTTATCCTCCTTAAAATGTGTATCCTTTGTTCTTTCTCTTTTTCTCTTTCATATGATTCTACATTTTATCTAATGTGTAAAAAAGTGGCACGAGAACATTTTTGTTTATCCCAGTACCAGTATTTCAAGACCAATTTAGGCATCCTAAACTTTCCATGCTTCATATAGCTGCTAAAACTTTTGTGCTTGTACTTACTGCTGTATGTCCATGCTGAGTTACTTAAACACTGAACTTTAAATGGATGTAAGAAAGGTTGTCAGTTCTGTACAAAAAAGAGATTGCTGAAATATGATCTGTATGTATACAATGAATGTCTCTAACCAATTAATTAACTGAAGGAAGATGGTTATATTGATTTTCTTTTCTATGTATTAAATTTTCAGGAACTAAGCAGCATCTACTAGACAGGCTTTGTAGATTTGAGAAACTTGCAGAATTAGATCCAGTGGAGCTTGAGAAGAGAATGTTAGACCAAGAAGACAGCAAAACCTGTGGTGAAGAAAAGGTTCTTGGGGAAAGTGTGGTTGAAATCCTCAGCCATTCAAGAGTTGATGCCATGCAGCAAGCCCCTGAGGACCTCAAGAGGCTGGTTTATGATCTGATCATGGAGGAAGAGACAGAAGTAAATTCTTCAGAAGAGAGGAAGATGGTGGTGATGAGAAGGGTTTGTAGGAGACTAGAGTTATGGAAAGAAGTGGAGTGCAACACCATTGATATGATGATAGAAGAGGACTTCTCTAGAGAAGAAGGTAGGTGGAAGAAAAATACTGAGCACAAGGGGGAGCTAGTTCAGGAGCTTGAGCTTGCAATCTTTTGCTATCTGGTGGAGGAACTTTCAGAGGAACTAGTATGTTAGTGTGAGCAAATTTTGAAGGAGCTGAAGAATTTAGAATGAATGATTGTCTTTATTCTTTTCACTAGAAGAGTACAGTCTAAGTTGCACCTTATTGAATAGGCTAGTTAGATAAAAAAGAGCCTCAAAAGGATAATTTGAGTGGGATGAAGAGAAAGCTCGGGGGATATGTACATGATTCGTGTATGTAAATCACCTTTAGTATTTAAAAATACTATCATTTTTGCAGTTATTAATCCTTGCATGTTATTTTATTTAATATATCCATGCTAGTAATAACTATATAGTTCATAGTTTATCTTTACAAACAACCTTAACAAATGATCAAAAGAAAACGTTCTATTTCATGTACTTGTTTCCTCACCTTTGTTTTAATGTGTTGCTTTAAGGTTAATTTATAAAATTAAGGAGTTTAATAATTTTTTTGATAAATAAAATAGTTATATAATTTTTATTTTATTCTGTATCACGTTAAATACATATAAATTATTTAATTAAGTATTATGTTAAAAATTAAGTGTAATAATGTTATTTTAAAGTTTAAAAATATAGTTAAATAGTTTTCTTTTTAAATATAATAATTAAAAAGAAATTGAGAGTATATTATATATATATATATATATATATATATATATATTGAAGAATATTTCAAAAGTGCTAGTAACTTTTGTAAAAATCTATATTATTTAAAATTTTAATTATTAATAAAAAAATCTAAGAATACAATAAAGATATTGTAGAAGAGTGCATGGAAGGTGATATCATAAAATATTTACAATTATGAATTTTGTAATGTTATTTGAAATTCAGTGTATGGTTACTTTGTCTATAGTTTTCCATATTAACACGGGCGGTATAAGCCAGTGAGGTGAGATGAGAGGAGAACAGAGATCGTTCACACTAGACAAAATTACGTAGTTAGACCACGTTGGCAAGCAACGAACATTTTGACAACTTGACAACGACTAAACACTTTGATCTCCTCCGCTTTTGTAGTATTATTTTCTTTTCCGAGGTGGATTCATGCAGTAATTGATAGGTAAACCTATTGGTTAATTCTGTTCTGTTATTGGTTTTTTCTTTTTTTAATTTCGAAATTGTGTCATTCACGTATCTTTCAACTTGTGTAGTTTTTTTTTAAATATTAAATTATCCATAGTTTTAGTTTTATTCTAAGATAATTAATATTGATGGACTATGTTATAGTTTTTTAGATAAATTTTACCATGAATACTTTTAAAAGTGAAATAAAAACATTAAAAAATTAACTTATTCTTCACTTACAAACTCTCTGTATAATTTTATTCTATTAAAAAAATTCATTTATTTTGTTGAAATAGTATCTAATCATGCCTTAAACATGATTGTTTCTGAAAACAAAATAACCTAAAAATAAAATAAAAAATAATTTGTGTTATTGGATAGACATAAATGGTTTTTGAATTGATAACAACACACTGACAATGTAATAAATGAATGCAGTTTGCAAAGGTTGAGATTATATTCATAGTTATAATTATTACTGCATGGAAGAGAAGAGATAAAGATAATTTTCTTTGAAACAATGTACATGGCTTACTATTATGGACTACATTTATAAATATTCAACAAATATTAAAAAAAATATGTATTTGTCTATTAACTATTTATAATTATTTATGGATATTAATTTAATATTTATAAATAATATGTAATTATTATTTTTATACTTTTTTAATATAAATTTAAATAAAAATATTCATCATAAAATATTACATAATAAAATTAATATTTACAAAAATCAGATTAAATAAATTATACAGAAAAATATAAATTTAAATAGATATTTAAAAAAAATTAATTTATAAATTTGAATAAAAACCATAAATATATAAAATTAATTCTAAATATTTAATTATTAATATTTTTTTAAATTTATTTTGATAATTTAATTTTAAAATACTTTAAATACAAAATACTAATGTAAATACTTATACCTGTTTCACTACTAAAAAATCATCAAATGTGAATTTTTCTGCAAATTTTTTTAGTAAAAAATAGTTACAACTTTTCCTAAGGAAAATATTTCACAAAAAATTATTACAAATTTATTTACAAAATATTTTTTCTAGAAAATATGTAAGATTTATTTTGCAAAAAATTAATAGTAAGAAATTCTTGCAAAGTTTTCTTCAATTATATAATTATAATTTTATTTTATTTTTCAAATATATATTTGAATAAAATTTGGCAGGAATGAAAACAATTTTATATATTTTTTTATAAATAAAATTTGTAAAAAAGATTTAATAATATTTCAAAAAATGGCAGCAAAATTTAAAAATAATATTTTTAAAAAAGATTTTAATTATTTTTATAGAAAAATAATAAAATATTTTATAATTGGTTACATTAAAAATAATTAAAATATAAAAAAAAAACAAAAACTGTGATTTGTTCGACGTCTCTTCTCGTCAACGTTTTTCCCTCTCTCGCTTCCATTAAGTATCCAGTTTCTTCTTCATCTCTTCTTCTTCGACCATATTGCCATTCTTCTCTTTTTAAACACTACTGTTTCTTCTTCCTTCCTCCGTATTGTTGATGCAGTGACTTGAATTGCAGTAGAAGACGAAGAATATCACATAAATAGGTATAACCTTAACCGCCAGAGTCTTTGGTATTTTAGTTCTATTTCACATAACTTATTCAACTATCCAATGTATTCTATCACTTATTCTAGTTATTGTTTTACTTTTTATTACTAATTTGAATGTTAGGGTTCGTGGAAATGAAATTGGGTTTGATTTCTGTTGCAGATAGGGGTTTGTTGAAGATTAGGGGAAGGAATTTTCAGAGCTTCCATTTAACGTAATTTGATTAACACTGCCACCTAGGGTTTTCATTTCATATGATGTTCTAATGTTTTGGAAATAATGTAGGTGGTGATTGAACTGTTTGTTGAATTGCTGTTTTGATTTTGGGTTGCGCTGCTCACTACTTCTCATCCCTGCCTTGCTTTCTCTGCCTTCTGCATCAACCTTTTTAAGACTCATAAGGTAAGTTGTGTCTACCTCTTTCATATACTTTTTACACTTTACAACACAAATAATAATCCCTACAATTTTACTTCAATCTTCATTAGTTTAATCAAGATCAACATTAGTGCCTTCCATTTATTTAGTTTGGTTTAAAAGACCTGATTAAGATAACTAACCATAGTTTATATGTTGTTGTGGTTGCAGTAGTAGTACCGTGATGTTTCAATAGATTTTTTCAAAATCAACACACGATGATTATGTCTTTCTTGAGGACTAACTCATTCACAAAATTCAAAACACACATGTCAACACACTAACACATGGTTTTTTTTTATATTCTAGCTACATGTGTGAACCAAACGCTGACTTTGTTTTTGTTCTGTTATGTGATAGAGTTTGTGAACCCTTGACTCTTGACATTTTGATCCAGTAACTGAACCCTTATAAAGTAACATTGGTGAAATACTTAGAAAAACATGAAACATGAAGCTTAAACCATAAGAAAGAAACATATGCATGGTTCAAGAATTAATAGAGAAAATAAAAAAGAAAGTTGAGTTCAATTATATAAGCTTTTTGAACACTCATATATGAGTCCTTTTCATTGATCTTCTTTGCATATAGCAGAGGATGTAATATTCTGCAGGAAATTTACGTATATCTCTATCTATGTTAATGCAAATGTTATTCTGGTGTGCTTTAGAATAGTACGTTGAAGTAATGTAATCAATAACTCCTGCATATGCACGTTCTGTGAATATTTTTTTTAGCATGTTTGTTATTCTGGTCTGTTAACGAAACTCTACATAATTTGTGTAGAGTTTGACTTTGTGTCTTCTTACTGGCTTGAGGATATCGTGACAACAAAACATAACATTCATAATATTTTACACGGTTGTTAGAACATCTTTAAACATTGATCCTTTCCACTACTCATCCTTCACCTCACTCTCTTCACACCACAACAAAAAATGCGGGTCAGAAAGCCACACGCAGTGTTGACCCCATTTTCAGTTCAAGGTCATATAAGCTCTTTGTTATGACTAGCAAAGTTGCTTCGTCTTAGAGGCTTTCGCATTACCTTTGTCCACACTGAATACAACTACAAACGCTTGCTCAATTCAAGAGGTCTTAAAGCCCTTGATGGCATTCCAGATTTTCATTTTGAGACCATCTCAGATGGTCTTCCTCCCAATGATGATGTTGATGTCACTCAAGACATAGTGGCCCTTTTTAAATAAGTGACAGAGACCTTTTTCCTACCCTTTCGTGAACTTCTTGTTAGACTCTATGATTCTGCCACTGCCGGCATTATACCTCCAGTTACTTGCTTGGTTTTTGATTTGTCCATGACTTTCACTACACAAGCTGCTCATGAACTAGCACTCCCTATTGTTCTATTTTCACTTGCTAGTGCCTGCAACTTAATGGCTACTTTGCACTACCGTGAGCTTTATGATAAAGGTCTCATACCACTCAAAGGTATGTACGATGTATCAAAGCTCTTTCTGAAGAAAGTCCATGAACAAATAATGTTAACGAAACTCTACATAATTTTTGCTTCTGCTGCTTCCTACCTCCAATACTCTTAATTTATACCCTTTGTAATGCAAGACGACATCCTCTTTAAATCTAGTTTAGAAAATTCATTGCTTTATATGAGTCTAATGATTTTTGGAGTGACCCTTAGGCAACCAAGCTGAAATTGGTTCTTGTTTCATGTTGAAAAAGTTTGTTATTATTTATTTTGCAGAATCTAGAAATACTTGTCTTGCAGTAGTGCATGTGCAACTGTCTTGTGCTCTATAGAATTAGTATTAATAGTTTAAATTTGAAGACATAGACTTGAATTCTTTTCTTGCTTTATTTTGAGTGATATATTTCTCTTGGAATTTACTTTCTGATTTTTGTTGCATGTGATTATTCATTAGTTAGTTTTCTCTATATTTGAATTGACTCTGTCATTTTTGCACTAAGGATTTGGAAGCTTTAATTAATAATAATCACAATATTATTTTTTTGCATTAAGAGCTTATTATTATTATTAGTTAAAATTCATTGAAAGTCACAATTTTACCGGGTCTCAATTCTTATCCAAAGAGCTCTGTTCATGATTTCACTATGCCTAACAAATTTTAACCAGTGTAAAGTGTGTATTAGGAGTATATTAGAGAGTGAAATGTATATTGCCAACACTTCTCTTAGTTGAATTGAAATGGATTCTTATCTATTGCATAATGAATAATTTATGATACTTAAGTGTAATGTGCGACTGTTGGCACATATCTAAAGTTACTGATGAAGGTGTCACTGTTTTCCCATCATTCTCTTTGAAAACGTATTGGGAGTTCTCTGCCTTTAAGAGTCCAACTATGGGCGCTGAAGGTTCATGGTAGCTGACTCACTATGAAACAGAATTTTAAAAGTGACTTGATGTTTTTTTTATATCCTTTTAGCTTCCTATGGTGGTTGAAACTGTTCTGTTTCATTAGAATTTATATTCCAGTTTCCTCTCAATTGCATACATAAACATCCATGCGGTCCACCTATTTGAATTTTAGATTAATCATGCTAAGAAGTTTAATTTCTTATTTTTCTTGTTAAAACTAAATGCGTAATTGGTGTCGAAAAAATGTTGTCATTTTGTTTTAGATTTAGGGTCCTGGATCACAAAGGACTTTTAAGAAAAAAAAATTATAAAATAAAATTAGCTTTTACTTTGTAGAAATATTCTTATATAATTTTTTGTTGTATAATTTTATTTTAGTATAGAAAAGTTAATTTATTTAGTTTTTCATTTTTATAAAAAAAATAAAATAAAAACCAGAGAAGATCGCTTTAAAAAATATGCTTATTTTTGTATGAATTTTTATGAAATGGTAATTAAAATGAATATAATATAATATTTTATTATGACCTATTAAACGGTTTTCAATTGAATTAAACAACCTCTAATTGATTGTGCATTGCACTCGAACAATTAAACTTCCCTTTCTTCTTAAGTGTTCGTATGAAATTGTTCAGTTACTGTTTACAGCTGTAATGTTTTTTCACTTTTTTCATTATTCTCATATTTTTAATTTTTGATTTCATTTTTTAATAAATACTGTAAAATATATTTTATTTAAACTAATCCATAATATTTCTTTTTCTTTTAAGATAAAGTTTAAGAGATTCTCAATGTCAATTTATAAAGTTAAAACCTAAAAAAATATTGCATTTCCATTTAACATAAACCAATTATAGTCTATTTTGTTTATAAGAATCACCTTTCTTGATCACTCCTTTTATAATATATGGTTATAATTTGTAACATTGATGTTTCCTTTTAGGTTATTGTTTTGGTAAGAACTTGTGAAGACCTTTAAATCTCGTATATGAAGTTTACAGGTAAGAATAATTTTAATTTCTTGTTCAAAATAGTTATATGTATATTATTAATATTTTTTTATATATAATAATTTTAGGCATTTTTGAGTCAATCTTATAATGAACATATCTAAACGTCGAGCATGAATGTATAATAGGCTTCTTCCTGGTCGGGAGGCATTTACAAAAGAATTTTTAAGTGGCCTCGATGTGTTTATGACTTTTGCTTGTCAACAACCAAGTTTTTTGATTGAAGGAAAAATAAGGTGTCCATGTAAGGAATGTAAAAATGAGAGGTTTTTAATTCCAAATGAAGTAAATGTTCACCTTCTCCGAAAAGGATTTACAATTGAGTATTGGTATTGGACATCTCTGTTGAATTATTGACAAACGTACCAAAATTATCAATCGCAGTATAGTATTTTGATTAAATAAAAGTCGATCCCACGAGGAACAATTTCAATGGAAAATCCCAATTATGCTTACTAAGTAGATTAAAATAGATTGGTTTTTGTAATAAGAGTTGAATTGAAATTAAATGATAAATAACTGTAAATTGTTGAAAAAAATATCAATTAAAGGTACTTAGGATTGTCTTCCTTCCTTATCCCTCTTTTGTAATGGCTATGTCAATTAAGAACGTCAATTAACCTAACAATGTTGATGTCACCTACTCAAACCATCCATGTTGATTCCTCATACATGAAATTCATAAGAAAACCTAATAAATGTTGATTCCTCACACAATTAAGAGATTTTCCAGCATTAGGGTTAGAGTGTTAAGCAATTGATACATTCATTCCATTCCTGACAATTAACGTAACAAATATTCTTACCGTGATCTAGGGTTCAAGATATATTTTCCAATCATACCCCAAACATCAAGAATAAAACATTCCAAAGCATAAAGGATAAGAATAGCAACATCAAAGCATAGATTAATATCTCAAAATATCACCATGATACAAAAGAGTTCAAAAGAAGTGCACCGAATCCCAAGAGAATGAAGTTAACCACTCATGTTGGCCATTACAATGCTCTAATTGATGAAAAAGTGAAGAATTGATGAACATTGGGCAAAACCCTAACAGTAGTCGTGCCTCCTCTCCTCCAAGACTGCTTCCTTTTCTCAAAACACAACTTATCTTTTTATAAGAGACTTTGGGCCGGGCCTCGCATCTTTTCATTCGCTTAAGCGTTCTTCTTTCTTTTAATTTTACTCCAATTATGCTGACAATTGTGCTCCTTACTCTTGTATCAAGGTATTCTCGAATTCATCCTATATTGGGAGAAACATATATTAGAATTAACATAAGTTAAGTGGTTTCATAACAATTCAAGGCATAATTATATCAACTTTTTACCACTTAGCAATCTCATGGAGAGAAAATCTCTCATACTAATGTTAATGTTGATATGCATTCAGTGTCGAGTAGTAGTCACCCATGGGGTTCTAATAGTGTTAATAGACATGAAGATATGGTGTTTGATGCTACTGGTCTTAATCATGAGCAACATTTTATACCAAATGAAGAGGAACCTACAAATATGGAAACTGCCAAATTTTACAAAATGCTAAATTTGACTCAACAACCATTATGACCGGATGTAAAAATACATCAGAGTTGTCTGCTGCTATTACAATGTCGAGTATAAAATCTAAATACAACATGTCACAGGCTTGTTTTAATGACGTCATGAAATTTATGAAAGAGTCAAACCACCTTCCAATTTTAGGGAAACAAAGAAACTTGTAGCAGGACTTGGTTTATCGAGGATAAAAATAGATTGTTGCATTGATGGATGTATGTTGTATTACAAAAGTGGCAATACTTTGAAGGAATGTAAATTTTGTAGGAAGCCTCGATATAAAGCACCCAATGAATGCAAGAAAAACCCTAAAGATGTTCCCCATAAGAGATTGCATTACTTGCCTCTCATTCCTAGATTACAAAGGTTATATGCTTCAACGAGATCTGTAGAGCACATGAGGTGGCACTATGAAAATTGTAGGGAAGGTGTTGTGTCATCCTTCAGACGGGGAAGCTTGGAAGGAATTTGATAAATTATATCCTGAATTTGCCTCAAAACCTCGAAATGTGAGACTTGGCTTGTGTGCCGATGGGTTCACTCCTTTTAGCCAATCAACAATACCATATTCTTGTTGGCCAGTAATTCTCACACCATATAATCTCCCTCCAGAATTATGTATGATGACTCCTTATATGTTCTTGACTTTGATCATTCCAGATCCACATAATCAAAAAGCTAAAATTGATGTGTATTTGCAACCATCACTACTACAAAATATGCTTTCCACGTCGTCATTTAACGTCGATTAAAGCTGAGCCAACGTTGAATACACTTTCAATGTCAGTTTTGAATCAACCGACGTTGAAAGTTAAATTGTGACATATTCAACGTCGGTTTTGAGTCAACCGACGTTGAAAGTTGAATTTTGACACATTCAACGTCGATTTTGAGTCAACCGATGTTGAAAGTTGAATTTTGACACATTCAACGTCGGTTTTAATAAACCGACGTTCAAAGTTGAATTTTGAATACACTTTCAACGTCGGTTTTAATAAACCGACGTTCAAAGTTGAATTTTGAATACACTTTCAACGTCGATTTTGAATCAACCGACGTTGAAAGTTGAATTTTGACACATTCAACGTCGATTTTCAGTCAAAAGACGTTAAAAGTTGAAATAATATCAAATTAATAGAATTGTTACTGATAACCTCCAACTCTAAAGTATTGGATTCGAATCTTGCCAGTGACAATTCTCTTAAAATAATATAATAAATAATAAAAATATAATATAAAGGGGAGGGGGATCTCTAGATAAATAGAGGAGGATAGAGGGGATTATAAATAAATAAAACTAGATAAATAGAAAGAGATTATAAATAAATAAATAAAAATAATCAAACTTTCTACATCAGTTCTTCTTACAACCGACGTGAAAGCCTTCCAGAACCGACGTGAAATGTGATATTTGTAGTAGTGCATTGGTAGATGAATTGCAACAATTGTGGAATAATGGTGTAGTAACATATGATGCCTCAAAAAAGCAAAATTTTCTATTGAGAGTTGCATTATTGAGAGTAGCCTCAGAATCATGTTTTTAGAAGAAATAAGGATGTTTTTTACAAAAATAGAATTGAGAAAGATGCGTCTCCTCCTAGATTAAGTGGTGAACAAGTATGAGATATAGTCTCTAACATTTCTAAGTCAACTAAAGTGAAGATATGTAATGTACCTGGTCATGGACATTCCCATAATTGGATAAAGAGAAGCATATTTTGGGATTTACCATATTGGAAACACAATTTATTGAGACACAATTTAAATGTTATGCACATAGAAAAAAATGTCTTTGAAAATTTGTTTCATACTGTTATGGATACCAAAGAGAAAACTAAAGACAATGAGAAGGCGCGATTGGACTTGGCATTGTATTGTAATAGAAAAGAGTTATTATTAAAAACAAATCCTAATGGGAAATGTATAAAGCCTAGAGCCAAATTTTGTTTATCAAACAAACAAAAGAATGATGTGTGTGAATGGGTAAAGGATTTAAAGATGCCTGATGGATATGCTTCCAACATTTCTAGATGTGTAGATACAAAATGTACAAGATTATATGGGATGAAAAGTCACAATTGTCATATTTTTATGGAATGTCTTCTCCCAATAGCTTTGAGAACTCTTCCTGAACCCATATAACTGAGCTTAACCAATTCTTCAGAGATTTATGTTCAAGTGTGTTACATGAAGATCATTTATTGCAAATGGAACAAAATATTCCTATAATATTGTGTAAGTTAGAATGTATATTTCCACCTGCATTCTTTGACTCTATGGAACATCTACCAATTCATTTGCCTTTTGAAGCTAGGATGGGTGGACCCGTTCAATACTGTTGGATGTACCCTTTTGAAAGGTAACATTCTTTTATACCCAATATCATTCTACAATTCACCAAATAATTGATTACATTTTTTGTACATAGGTTTCTAAATAAAATTAAAAAAACTGTGAAGAACAAGAGAAGTGTGGAAGGGTCCATTTGTGAAGCATATTTACTACAAGACACATCTTATTTCAGTTCTCATTATTTTGCACCTCAAACTTGTGTGAATGAGGGAGTTCATGAAGACAATACAGAACTAACATTATCCATCTTTAAGCCATTTGGACAAACGGCGGGTAAATATAAAGAAAGGTGGCTTAATGATAGAGAAAGGTTGACTGCCCAATTGCATGTTCTTTTGAACTATAATGAGGTTAAATTGTTCATTGAGTAAGTGTCAAATATTATATAATTGTCAATTTTAATTCATTTAACAATAGTCATATAATTTAATTATCCTTTTTTGTAGTTTATATGTACAAACTTTGAAAGATACATATGGGAATATCAATGATGATATCATTGATAAACAAATAGAATCTGATTTTCCACTATGATTTGAAGAATATGTAAGCTTTGCTTTGATTAAACAAATTAATTTGATAACATATTTTATTAAGTTATCTAATTACAACTTTTATTTGAATAGGTAAAACAAAATCACCAACTTGGGTTACAAAATTCAAACTTCTATGACTTGGCAAAGGGACCTTTAAGGATAGCAAAGTTGTGGCCAATTTATTTTGTGAATGGGTACAAATTTCACACAACATCATGGGGTAAAGCCAAAACGACATATAATAGTGGAGTATGTGTGAGTGGAATTGGACAAGGTGAAACATCATGTGATTATTATGGTGTTCTTGTAAAGATATTAGAATTGGAATGACCAAGTCAATCACAAAAAAAGTTAGTTTTATTTTATTGTGATTGGTTTGATCCTTCAAACCATGGGACGAGAACACATAAGCAATATAAGATTATAGAGGTAAGAAAAAGAAGAAAATACGAAAAATTTGATCCTTTTATTTTTCCAAAAGTTGCAACTCAAGTTTACTACTCATCTTTTCCTGGACGACAAAAGGATAAGGTTGATTGGATGGTAGTTATGAAAACAAAACCAAGGGGAGTTGTTGATGATAGACATACTTTAGAAGTTGCATATCAAATGAATGAGTCACAAGTTAATACAATAATTGAAGATGACCCAATTGGCCACCTACAAGAAGATGAGGTTGTTGGTGAAGAGGTGATTTTGATATAACATTCATTGAAAATGAAGATGAAGATTTCATGCAATATGTAGAAGAAGAAGAAGAAGAAGAAGAAGAAGAAGAAGAAGAAGAAGAAGAAGAAGAAGAAGAAGAAGAAGAAGAAGAAGAAGAAGAAGAAGAAGAAGAAGAAGAAGAAGAAGATGATGATGATGAAAGTGAAGATTTAATGGATGAAGAGGAAGATGAAAATTAACATTAAGAGTACATGATAATGTTATCTTATTATTACATTCTAGTATTGTTGACAATATTATTTACCTTTTGAGATTATAAATGTGATATACTTTTCTTTATGTGTCATAAAATATATTTTCTAATTTTTTATTATGATACTTAAAAATTATATGTTTGATTGTAAAAGAGCAATGCAACCCACTAGGGATGGCAAAACGGGCCAGGCCTGGCGGGCTGGCCCGCCATAATATGGCGGGGCGGGTTGGTGTTTTCAGCCCACCAGCCCATGTTGGCCCGCCTCGCCAAGCCCGTCAACCCACCGGCCAACCCACGGGACGGGGTGGGCCATCCCGAGACCCACCTAATTAATAAAAAAATATCTTTTTATTGTAATAAAATTAATTATAAAGATAATATATAAAGTTAAAAATTTTAAAAAGATAATTAAAAAGTTTCACTCTCATAGAAAATATTCTCCTTATTGAAACACAACCTTCTCTCTCCTGTTCTCCTTGTTAATCTTAAGCACTGATTATTTTTATTCTTATGACTTGAAAAAAAGGTGTGAGAATTACTCAACCAAGAATAATATGAAGTTTTATCAAATAAAAAAGATATAGGTATTTGAATTTTTCAATATAAAAATATAAATTTTATAAGTTTTAACGTTATATATATATATATATATATATATATATATATATTTGTTATTATTTATTATTATGTAAATTTTATTATTGTTCTAAATTATAATTTCTTAAAACAATGTATTGATTTATATTATTAAATTAAAATTATATATATATATATATATTGAATTATTGACAAACAAATAATAATCTTATTATTAAATTTATTAAAAAAAATTATTTTAAAAAATAAATTATTTTTTTTCTAAATTATGGCAGAGCCAGCCCGCCAACCCGCCCCTTGACGGGACAGACAAAGGTCTACAGTCCGTCATGACTATAATTGGCCAGCCTGCTCCGCCCCGCTTTTGGCGGGCCAAAGGCGGGACGGGCCAAAACGGGGCAGATTGACCCGTTTTGCCATCCTTACAACCCACTAAAAGGATGAGAGAAAAAAAATGCACAAATTCATATACCATTTATACTACCATCAACCAACCTTGAAGCTTATTCCAAGCAAATAACTCGGCCTCTACCTTCATATCGATCACCATTTCGACCTCCATTTCCAAATTTATCTCGACCTCCACCTTCACCTTCCCATCTATCTCAACCTCCACCTCCACCTCCTTCATCTCAACCTCCACCTTGTTCACCTCGACCTTCAGCTTTACATCTATCTCAACCTCCACCTCCTCTTGCATGTCAACCTCAACCTTGTCCACCTTTATTTCGACCTTCACCTTCACATCTATCTCAACCTCCACCTCCTCCTTCAATTAACCCTCAACCTTGTCCACCTTTATTTCGACCTTCACCTTCACATCTATCTCAACCTCCATCTCCATCTCCTCCTTCATCTCAGCCTCCACATTGTCCACCTCTATTTCAACCTTCACCTTCACATTTATCTCAACCTCCACCTCCTCTTTCATCTCAGCCTCCACATCCACCTATATATCAACCTCCTCCTCCACCTCCACATCCACATAGGCCCTCCCAATATCAACCCATCCTTACTCAACAGTTCTTTCAAATGCATTATTTTCAAGTGGCAAATGAAGCTCCATCTTCTTCGTCTAGCCATGTTAGTGGAGACAATAATAGGAAGAAAATCTTAATACTTCTGGAAGGCGATGGGTAAGTAACTTTTTTAGTGAATTATTTTAACTTTCTTAACATAATATAATTTTTATTGTCTTATATAGGTTTGATCAACACAAGTTGGTAGTGGGGACGATTGCTTCAATCATTCGCTCTAACTTGGAAGAGGCAAAGCCATCATGGAAGAAGTTATCCATGGATCAAAGGGAATCTTGGTTTGATATATTCAAAGTAATTAATTTTTAAATTTTGATTAAAAGATTTTATTTATTTTTGGAAAATGTTTCTAGTATAATCATTATTTTTTTCATTTTTCTCAAAAATAATGAAGTCAAAATTTTCTTGGTCACCTCAATATAATGACATGGTGCGACGTAACTTTGAGAGAAGAGGTGCATCTAAAATGTCTCAATTAATGCAAGATGCTAGAAAAAATCTAGAGAAAAAACCCATTTGGATGGGAGAGAATGTGTGGGGACAATTAAAGACACATTGGGAATCTACAAGTTTTAAAAAGAAGTCTGAAACAAATAAAAGAAATCGGGTAGCTTTGGATGGTGCATCTCTTCATATAGGTGGATCAATACCTCATCGCTTACATGGGAAGAGAATGATATTATTACTTTACCTTATTTTTTATAATTTACATTTTAGAATTAATAACATTAAACTTTCTTTGTTATCAGAATGAGGAAAAAGGAATAGACTCATCATTGACTGAGTTTTATTTTCGTACACATTGGAGAAAGAAGGATCAAAGTTGGGTTGGTCCTCATGCCAAAATTGCTTTTGTAAGTTTTCAATTTGATAAGCACATTGGTAGTAATAAGCACATTGTCAAATATGAAAGTAGTTATATATTAATTAGCTTTGCATTTGGGTCAAATATGAAAGTAGTCAAATTTCTTTAATTGATTGAAGAATTTGGAAGGAACCGAGCTTTATGGCTAGAGATAATCAAAGTTATGTAAAACTCGCTATTTCATTTTTTTATTTTGAAAGAATGATAAAATATTTTAAAAAATTGAACATTTTTCACTCACTTTTGTTATTTATATATTTTCACTAAGTACCTTTTCATTTGCAGGAGAAATTTGAACAAAAGAAAAATGAGTTATTAGCTCATAGTTTTGGGGAGGATGCAATTGATGGTGAACAATCCATGAGCCAAATGCCATCAGATTTGAATATATGGATTGATTCAGTTGAAAAAAATAAGGGAAGAATATTTGGTCTTGGATCTCTAGGCAAAATGTTAATCATATCTTCAACTAAGAAGTCAAATTTTGAAAATGTTGATACTTTAAGGAGTCAAAATCAAGCCTTAAATGAATCATTACATAGGCAAGAACAAGATGAAAGTGATCCTAGCAAAGATCTCATTGATTTGATGAAGTCAAAGATAAAGTCAAGGGTCAACTCTGCAGCAGTCAAACAAGTCACTCAGAACAAAGGAGCTGAAGACTTAGTGTGTCTAAACAGAAAGCTTAGGTAAAACCACTTTACCTTTTCCACTGCATAAAGCTTCTTCACTCAATTTGCAAAATGCCTCAAAAATAGTTTTAAACAAATCAAAAACAAAAGCATTTTGTCAAAGAACTTTCCTAACAAATTTATTAACTGATATAGCTTTGAAAGAAACAATTAAAAACACTTAGAATGTTTTAAGAAGTGTTTTTACAGTATTTTAATCGATACAAACTTCTTTTAATCGATTAAAACTCTTTATGACCGATTAGAATTCGAATGTAATAGGTCAGAATGCAATATAATCGATCAGATCTTAAATATGAGCGATTAGAATTATTTTAATCGATTAAAACACGTTTCAATCGATTAAAATCACTTTGGATGTCAGTATGATCGATCAGAATGAGATTATGACCGATCAGAGTTGGTTATGATCGATCAGAATTGAATTATGACCGATCAGACTTATTTCAATCGATTAAAACGCATTTCAATCGATTAGAATAACTTAGAAAATCTTTTCAATCGATTAAAACGAACTTTCAATCGATTAAAATGACTTGAAAATATATGTGCAGTTTTTCAATCGATTGAAACGACTTTATATCAGCTAAAATAACTTAGAAAGTTTTATAAGAAGGTTTTTAAACAAATCAATCGATTAATACGTGATTCAATCGATTGTTTTATACTTAGAAAATGTTTGTAAAACGTTTTAACTGATAAAAACGTGGTCAGTATCAACTAAAACATTTTCTGTTAAAGATCAAGAACGCATTAATGGGTTGAAAGGACTTTTAACAGATTGTAACTGCTATTTCAACAGATTAAAACAAACTTTCAACAGATTAATTAATGCAACAGATTTGAAAATACTCTTTTATAAACAGAATTGCTTGGAACTTTTATCATATCAGCTTTGACACAATTCAAGCAATCAATACAAGCAACTATTAGCATTTTTCAAGAAAGATACACAACTGTTTTTGTGAACTTCTTTTGAAATCTTTCTTGAGGCACTTTGCATTTCTTTGAAGAAGAAACTGACTGTGGATTGGTGTAATCCGGTTTGAGCTTTCTTTGTTTCTTCTTTTAAATTTCTATTCATTCATTTGTACTGTTTTGTACCTGAATTTGGGTACAAGTTTTCTGCAGCTTGCTGTAGAAAGTTGCCAAGAACTGGAATTTGGTTCTTGGTGGAAAGGTTAAAGCAAGAGCTGGAATTTGGTTCTTGTGTGTGGTGCCTGGAATTTGGGCACTCGGTTTCTCTGCTGCTGGAATTTGGTTGCAGAGGTTTCCAAGAGCTGGAATTTGGTTCTTGGTGGAGAGTTAGAATAGGTGTAAGAGGGTGAGTCTCAGAAACATCTATTCTAGTGGAACCCAGCTGGAATTTGGCTTGGAGTCTGGACGTAGCCCTGGTATTGGGTGAACCAGGATAAAATTACCTGTGAAATCTTTCCTAACCTTTCTCTCTTTAATTTCAGCTGCTCGCGCTTATATTGTTTGATTGCTTGGTAATTCAAAAAAGATTTTTAGAAACTTAATTTTCGAATTAGATAATCTGCGTATTGCGAAAACTTTCAAAAATCAATTCACCCCCCTCTTGATTTAAAACTACTTTTCTAACAATTGGTATCGAGAGCGAGGTGCTTGAAAGATAATCAAGTTACTTCGATCCATGGCATTTTCTCGAGGGAGCGTGCATTGATAGACCTCCACTCGTTGAGTGGAACAGATTACCTATATTGGAAAATAAGGATGAAAATCTTCATTGAATCTGTTAGTATAAATGCTTGGAATGTTATTGAACAGGAAACTGATATTGCTAACAGAATCCAAGATGATTGTATTGCCAAGAATATCATCTTATCCGCCCTTAACAGAGATGATCTTTTCAGGATTGCACACTGCCAAACTGCCGCACAAATGTGGAAGATCCTTGAAAAGACCTATGAAGAAGCACCGTAAATATGCTTGATGGTCAACTCTGAATCATCAAAAACCAAGGTAAGTTCTGAATCTATAAACTATAGCTCATTACAAGATGCTTTCTTTGAAATACATGAAGTAGCAAAGAAATTAGAAACTGAAAACAGAAAATTGAAAAGCATGAATAGGTTACTAGAAAACAAGATCATTATTCTTGAAAAGAAAATAATTGATGAAGAAAAGTTAGAATTAGAAAATAATACTGATTGCATGTGTAATGTTGAAGATTGCAAAAACTTGTCCCGAAGTTACGTGAAAACAAGTATCATACCTAGTAAAAACTTCATCTAAATTAGCACAAGGAAAGAATAATCTTGATAAGATACTTGATTCCCAAAAGTTAGTTATTGAACGTGGTGGTATAGGTTATACACCAACCATTGGAAAGAAAACCAGAGCATTCAAAAATTATTTTGCATATAGTAAAACAGTTTCATCTCCATTTATCAAATGTTTTTACTGCATGAAGAAAGGGCATTCAGGAAAATACCGTAGAATTAAAAAGTATGCTATTCCTAAAGGGAGAATGAAATGGGTTCCAAAGATTAATTCTTTTCAAATAACATGATCAGGACCCAATAATTATAAAGGGTACCAGAAAAATACTTAATTGTTTTGCAGGAACAAGTCTCGGGAATCCCTTGAAGATCGAAGCTGCGAAACCAGGTTCTGCGTATTTAAATTAATTGTTTTAATTGATATAAACCAATATTAATCGATTGAAATAACTTACCGTACCATTTTAATCGATTGAAATATCGAAATAATCGATTAAATTGTTCTCGTAATGTTGGTTTAGTCGTTTTAATCGATTAGAATAAATTTATATCAACTAAAAACACTTAGGATCAAAATTAATCGATTCATTTACGTTTTAATCGATTTAAATACTGGTGATATTTTTTTATTACATTCTGTACCATACAAATCGATTCTTTCATAAAACAATCGATTAATTCACTCGTAGATGTTTACATTTCTCTTAATACTTTACATGGAATGATGCATGGTAATACACCGAAAATCAAAGAAATTATCAAAGAATAGACTGTAACTTTTCTTATAGACACTAGTTACAAACAGGTCAAACTGTTAGGATCTGAAAACATAGTTTATCAAAGATTTTTTCAGTGATAGTTGATTCTGGTAATAAATTGTTGATTACTAGGAAGTTCAATGAACAAATGTTTTCATTAAATTTCTTGATATTACATTGCAATATATTTGAAATAATTTTGAGCATGCATTGGTTCAAAACTCTTGGTGAAATTCATTGAACTGTGCAACTTTGAATATTTGCTTTAATCATCAATATCACGAGGTGACACTATAAGGGAACCAATCTGGAACAGCGAATTCAAAAATTGAATAA